TCCTCTAGCATTGTTTCTCCCAAAGCTCCTAGCATCACTGTTGCTGTTTCTGATACCCCACTTTCTGCATCTCCAACCACTGCCATTCCTGGCTTGACAACAAACTATCTCCAAGCACTATCAACTTCACTCCAAGAGTCCCAAGCAACTCAGCAGACAGAGGGTCTCAGCTATGCTCTCACTGGTCCTTCAAATGCTCTCGAAGGCGGCCTGGTGTACGCACACATCCGCCGTTCCAAGTTCAAGCTTCCCATGCTGTCATCACACCCTTTGATCATGGTTGCTGCTGGTACTGGTCTCGCTCCCTTCCGCGGTTTCATCGCCGAGCGCCTCCGTCTACAGTCCATTGGTAAGGATGTTGGCCAAATGCTGCTCTTCTTCGGCTGCCACAAGCCTGATGAGGACTACATCTACCGCGAGGAGCTTGAGCAGATGGAGAAGGACCTCGGTGGCAAGTTGAAGATCGTCACCGCCTTCTCAAGACAGCAGGGCACCAAGAAGACCTACGTCCAGGACAAGGTCCGGGACATGGGCAAGGATGTCTCCGAGTTGTTGGCAGATGGCGCCAGCTTGTACATGTGCGGCAGGGCAAGCATGGCGAGAGAGGTTGGCAAGACGCTTGGTGATGTGATGAAAGCAGACAAGGGCTGGGATGATTCTCAGGTCAAGGACTGGAGCGAGGCATTGAAGCGCAACCGCAAGTGGCAAGAGGATGTCTGGGGATAGATGGAATGGCATTAGCATGAGTCTACGACAGTGAGATATAGGATCTGATTTGGTTGGATAGGTTAGCGTCTGTATGGTTTATGGAATAGATTTCAAGCGTTTTTCCAAAAGTCGTATTTCCCTGAGTGATTTTTCTGCTAAATTCTGCGCTTATCATATAGGCTGTTCATAAGCCTGCACCATGCGTTTAGGCTTTCTCTGTACCCAAGTGATTGGTGTGCCGAAGATCTCGGAGATTTGGATTGATTTCTTTGGTAGCAGGTGGTCTGTTCCTGCATGACTCCAAGCAACCCCAAGCGCGATAACACGCCCGATTGTTTGGTTTCTCAGCCTAGAATAGCTATAGTACGTCGGCTCCTGGCTCCCACTTTCTCGAATTGGAAATTACCTCCTGCGGCTAGGCCATGAAGAGCTTGCATAGCTTCTTCGGGAAGTCTCAGGCTCCGCGTTCTTCAGACCGGGAGGGTCTGAAGGATCTGAATATCCGATCTCGTGACGCTTGCCAATCATTCTTGAGTACCGGTTCTGTGGAAGAGTCGGCCTTGAATGGGCATTCTCTATGTCCAGTTTCCAGGAACGGAGTTGCGGCAAGGCGTGGTGTTTCACTACTACCCGGATCCAGTCCCCTTCAAGTGGACACACCAACATCGCAAGAACGTCAACATGCAGAATAAGATGGAGACGGAAAAGCATCAATTACACACATCTTCATAACCCGCGGGTTTCTGCTACTGTCTAGCCCGGGCTCGTCCCGAAACATGACAGGGCCTAGATCGGACTGTGAGAAGACCCCTTGTGCGTGCATCATGATGCCTCGCATATGCATTTTGACAGAGCCGCAGATTCCCATCAACTGTCAAGTTGAACAGTGACCATTCCCAGTCATCTCGTTGGTCGCATGGGTGGCCGCGTGGAAGGAAATGGGGCTGATTTGGTGTGGGCGAATAAGCTTTATCCTTGTTCTAATCTGAGTCCCGCGGGTTATTCTACCCCTTTTGGTAGGTAATCCCACATGCAAGTCCCTGACTCGTCGAAGCCTCCTCGTTTGTGGCCAGGGTCTCCAGTTCACTCCGCTCACTTTCTTGGGGAGAGACTCATCTGCCGTCGCCTCTGATCCGCGGGCTAAACAAAATCCCTTCTGTCCACGGCAGTCACAAGACTGCGGGCTCCAATCGGAGCCGCTAAATTGATAATGTCAGTGGAAGATACATAGTATATCCTCCCCCAGTGTGGGGGACTATCCGGGGCAAACTCTGATGCATGCAAAATCTGGGGCAGGCGGATGCCATCCCAACCGCTTGGCCCACCGTGCTGTCTATTCTCGTGTCTAGTGTATTCAGCGTTGTTCCCATCGGCTGCCCAGTTGCGTATCGTTTCCTTCATTGTTTGCGATGACATCATTCTTATCTGAAGTTGCCGAGACCCATGTACGGGCCCATAGGGCGCGTTCTGTGCTGTAACCGATGGAAAGTCTTCGAAACCTCTCGCAATGATTCCGCGTCGTCGTTGGAATTCCTTATATCGTCTTGCAATTCAAGGGACAAACGTACGGAAACATGCCGACACAACATCGCTGATACTGACGGGCTGGCCTCCCCTTCACCCGGAAATCAGTGCCATGTTTTCGACATCTCCACGCTGGTCACAGTAAGGCGCTTGCTGAGAGACGAATGTGCCAAGGCGTTGCGTCTCAGACGAACGAATAACAGATACGGCGGGCTTTTTTTACTACTTTAGGCATGGCTTAGTATGGATTCCCCCGCGTATCCCGCACGCGGAAGCACCCCAGACAACCCACCCCCGCATTTAATTCAGCTACGCTACTCAGCAACGCTCAGGTATCGGGGAAAGGAGATGAGGGGGCTACTGGCTGTGTTGCGCATTGCTTTATGGAACCAAGGTATCTTTGCCCGGACTTTCAGTAGAACCCTGCTCCAACATGCCGGATGTAACGAGCATTCCATCTGGTTCTGTAAAGGCACGGATGAGGGGATTCAAGCTGGCAGGGCGCGTGTTCGTTGTCTACCCATACAACGAACTCATTCGAGTAATAAAACCCCGCGACCCACCTTGGCGCGCTCTTGATGGGCTAGGGGTGTAGTAGTTTCTTGGGGAGAGAGGCATTGACTCAAATTCTATATAAGCATGTGTGTGGTCGCCTTCGTCCGATGGTGGTTCGAGCTTCTGATCTAGCAACCGGCCTCAGCCTCAATAGCCGATTACCACGACACCAACCTCTCTTTCTACAACCGCTGCTTTGCAATACCTTTCTTGTGAGGTTGGCCAGCACACTCCTTAGACAAGATGTCGCAAACAACGCCCGACGCCGACAGCAAGAACCTGTCGAGAGAAGCGTCTCTCGATAAGGTCAAAGTTGATGGAGTTGCGAAGCACGTCGAGCAATCTGACGGCGTCCAAGTCCCCAGCTATGATGATTCCATCGAGGATACTGAGCCTTCCAGAGCTGTATGGCTTATCACCTTCACGGTGGCGATGGGCGGTTTTCTGTTCGGTAAGTTCTGGCTCCCACGCTGCTGATACGCGGCGCGGAAGTTTCCATGGAACGCGCGGACCCTAATCTTGACTTTAACAGGATACGATACCGGTGTAATTTCGGCCGTCCTGGTCAGTCTCAAGTCGGACCTCGGACACGAACTATCGACCTCGGAGCAAGAACTTGTGACATCCATCACCTCCGGCGGCGCTCTGATCGGAGCCATCATCGCCGGTCTCCCTGCCGACAGATACGGACGCAAGCTCGGCATCTACATTGGATGCATTCTCTTCCTTATCGGCTCAATCATCCAAGCCGCGGCTTTCTCGCTGGCTCAGATGACAGTCGGCCGTTTCATCGTTGGATTGGGTGTTGGGTCTGCCGCCATGATCATCGTAGGTTTCCTGAACCCCGTACCTGACACATTTGATACTGAGGCCTCGAGACTAGCCTCTTTATATCGGCGAGCTGGCCCCTGCCAGACACCGCGGCCGCATGATTGCTTTCGATAATATGAGTGTGACTCTTGGTCAGCTTATCTCTTACGCTCTCGGAGCCGGGTTCACTGAGGTTGCCCACGGATGGCGCTACATGGTTGCCGTTGGTGGTCTGCCGCCCATCGCCCTGGCTTTGCTGCTACCGTGGTGCCCCGAATCCCCCCGACAGCTCATCTCCCACGGCAAGGTTGAGGAGGCTACCCGCGTCATCAGACGCGTCTATCCCCACGCCACCGACGAACAGGTTCAGGCAAAGATGGGACACATGACCTGGGCTGTTGAGGTTGAAGCACAGGCTACGTCTACTTCCTTGTGGCACCGCTTCAAGGAGCTCCACACTGTTCCCTCCAACCTGCGCGCTCTGATTTGCGCCTGCGCTATCATGGCCAGTAAGACTACCCGTATCAGAGCTGAGGGGATGAAACTGACAGTTGACAGTCTCTCAACTCGGCGGCTTCAACACTTTGATGTACTACAGTGGCGTTCTCTTCGGACTCGTTGGTTTCGATAAGCCAGTCGCCGTCTCCATCGTCGTTGGCGCAACCAACTTTGTCTTTTCCTTGGTGAACTTGTTGGTTATCGATCGACTTGGCAGACGCCGTATTCTCATTTTCACTGTCATGGGAATGGTGGGTTTCCTGAGTGCACTAATTCTTTTGACACCATACTGACTGATTCTAGTCCATCAGCATGGCCGTCGCTGCGATCGCATTCCACTGGATCCCAGTCTCACCCGATCTCAAGTTGCAAGCCACCTCGGTAAACTGGGCGGGTATCCTCGTCCTCGTCACGATCATCGTATACGTCGCTTGCTTTGCCGGTGGAGTTGCCACCATCGCCTGGGTCGGCACTGAGCTGTTGCCTCTTGAGGTCCGCGCTCTCGGCACCATGATGAACACCGTCACCTGCTGGGGCTGCAACATTATCATCGCTTCGACATTCTTGTCTATGATGAAGGGTCTGACGCCAAGCGGTGCTTTCGGCTTCTACGCAGGTATCTGCTTCTTTGGCTGGGTCTTTGTCATCTTCTGTTACCCTGAGGCAAACGGCTTGCCGCTTGAGGAGGTTCGCCAGATTTTCTCCACTGGATTTGGCGTCAAGAAGGCGAATGAGTTGCAGAAGATGCGCAAGATGACTGGGGGATCGGCTTGAAGCCATGGAGAGGCCGATTTGTCTCTGTAGGTAGCACTTTCTAGCGTTGATAAATCAAGAAGCATTATCAAATTGCAATTCAGGTCTCTAGGCGACTAAATCGGAGATGTCGTATTATTGAAGTAGACCTGTCACTTGCCCACGTACGAGCTTACGGGGGGTCCCAGATAGCTTTCCTTGACTCCTCCCAAGTCAATCACTACCTTCTCCAAGATCAAATTCGAATGTCTCAACTGGATCTTGATGGTGTGTTCTCCAGGGCCCAAGTTAAACTTACTTAACTTGTGAGTTCGTAACCAATTACAATCCTGAACTGCGTGGAACCATCCTTCGGGTAGATCTGCGCGCTTTTTCTGTTTCAGTAGCGGCCATAATCCCCCGGACTCCTCATCAACTTGGAATCCGTACACCATCGTGTCTTTAGGATCCAAATCCAACGTCATGTTGAAATACAACTTCAGAGTCGGTGTCGTGGTTTGTGAGAAGACATAAAAGGTATAGCTGAGAAGCTCGTCAGGAATCTCGTAAATATCAACAACAGAGACTCCTCCATTTCCTGTTCTACCGCAGTCCGGCAGCAGTCTGTACTCAGGTGGATGACAATGCGAAGCTGGGATGGAAACGCATCCGTCGCTTTCGATGAATCCGCCACTGAATGTCTCCGGAACTCGTCTGCCAGTGATTGGAAGGTGAACCTGTTCGAAGTCGCCTTCTTGGGATTGAATGTCGATCAGAACTTCCTGGTCGAAATCGTCCGGCACCTTTTCCCAGTCAACGGCAATCGAGATGCGTGCATCGTCACCGTCAGGATCAAGCGTGCCCTCCGTAGTAGAGAGCTGAACCCACGGAACCGGGGAGGACGTTTTCCAATGAATGACTTGGTTTCCTCTTGTGAAGATATCAAACCACCTCTTTGGTGGCCCGTATCGGCTCATGGGACCAAAAGTGACACCAGGTACCAGGTCTCGTCGGCTGGGATGCGTTCGATCAGATTCTTCGTTCGTTCTTCCTGGGCGAACGCCTGCATGGCCCTCGACGGCAACTCCCATTTGGCCGACGATTGGATTGGAGTTCTGCCGACGCTGGACATAACACAAACCACTGATCATATCACGCGACGGCGCGTGCCAGGTATCGCCGAAGCCGTAATGTGTCTGGCTCATGATGTGGTTCCACTTCCCGCCAAGCAAGGAATGGAACTCCTCACTGAGTGTGTAGTCATCGTCGAAGAGGTCGAGGACCTCACGAGCCAGCTTGTTGGCAGTGTTTCGTCTTTGACGGGCGTACAGCTGGTTTCTGCCCAGAGTGATCTGCAGCTTGGTGAAGATTTGGGACGCTTTGACAGGGTGCAGGACTGTCTCGAATATTGCCGCCTTCTGGTGTTCCGGTGCGCGGTCGTGAATTGCTTGGGCCGAGTCGAGAAGCGAGTCATATCGGTTCACGACACTTTCTGCCTCGCCATAGTGCAGCAGGGAGAATGTGGTCGGCTCGATGTGTTCATGCCTTCGTAGTGCGGCTAGTCTATCATACCGATGCCACGCATCTGCGATCTCGGTCGCCAGATCTGCACCAAAGTTGGCTTCAGCCATAGAAGAGTAGAATTTGACGAAGTTCTGTGCTTCGATGGACTTGATGTCCCAAGCCAGTGCCATTGCAAAGGTGAGTGGGACTTCCATGGGTTTAATGTCGCCTACGTTGAAGACCCAAATCTGCTTTGCGTTGCGCCGATGCGCTTCTTGTAGTTGGTGCCATGTTTTCCCCTGTTTTCCTGCGTCAAACTACGTTGTTACTTTTTACAGACCAGATTTTCTCACCAGGGAGTTACTGTTGATCCACTTGTAGCTGCGTGGAGTCCCCACGTACTCAAAGTGGTAGTATATCTATGCCTGGTAAGTGACTTATCATAGTAAAGATTACGGTCTTTTGACTTACACCTGCGCCTCCCATTCTACTCATCTCTTTCTCCTTCGGAAGACGTCTTATGCTTCCAAAGTTGTCGTCCGCAAACAGGAGAGTCACATCATCAGGTACATCAATCGTCGCACTTTCATACTGGTCTTGTACTTCCTTGTACAAAGCCAGAAGCTCTATACGAAATCTTCGAGTCAGCTCTCGTCCCGATATTTGATTTTACTTTTAACGTACGTGGAACCGCATCCTCCCTGCCATGAACCTCCTTGATTACGGCTCTCTGGGTCTTAATCACGTCACGGACCACAGCCGCTGGGTCATCTGTCTTCATGCCTTTGTCGTACTCTCCACGCATTCCAATCGTAAAGTAAGACTCGACACCTTTCGCTCTTTTGACTCCTTCCTCGAAGAACTCGGTAATCTTCTCCTTGTTTGTCAGCCAGTTCCAGCTTCCGTCTGGGTTGTCCGCAAACCACTCGTTTGTTGCCCGCTGCATTGGCTCATGATGCGAGGTTGACACGGCGATACCATAGTCGTTGGCAACTTTGGCATTCTCTAAGTCGTCTGTGAAGAAACTAGCCCCAGGATTTGGATATCCGGGCCACATTGCCGGCCACATGAAGTTCGCCTGTGAGTGTTAGCAGTTGAGCATACCTCGTTTAACAGTGTTTATGAACCTTCAGTCTCAGCAGCAGTTCAAATACGTTCTTGTAGAATTCCGAGTTGTAACCTCCAAAGTTGTCTCTGGCCCATCCTGTGAGTGCCGGAGCTTCATCGTTGATAAAAATGCCTCGAAACCGCACGCAGGGCTCTCCATTGTACGTAGGCTCAGGCAGGGCATATATCTCCTCGTGATGTTTAGGAGGTACATCTGCCCAGAAGTACCAGCTATCATCTTGTCAGTAAATGGTTGAGTATTCTTACACTCAACTTACGGCGACACCCCGATCTGCTCAGACAACGTGTACGATCCAAATATTGCTCCGCGCTTGTCGCTCCCTGCGATCACAAGCGCCTTTCTGCACCCCGGAAAGGGGTCGGTGACAGGGGCCGTCAGGAATGACTCCCACTTTCCGCGAATATGGCCGAAGTCGAGCTTTCCGTCCTTCTCCAACCGTTGGAGCAGACGACTCGACTCGATGCATCCAATGAGAATGCCAACGTCCGCGCCAGTGTCAGCATCGACCTCGTGTTCTTTGGACACAAGCAAAGGCTTCGGCTCAGACTTTGTGACGCGGCCAAAGTCGTTGGCAAGATTCTGTGCTGCAATGTGAATGCCGATCGGGTCTGATTCGTCAACCACGATGGTTGCACCGACCAGATTGAAGAGCTCGTCGCCCTCTGAGCGCGAGAACGCTACGATGGGCTGTTCGAACATGATGATGTTGACTCACACGCTGCTCATACTGAGAATACAGCTTTCTGGTCACAACGGCTACAACGACAGATGGTTCCCCTCAAAATACCTGGGCGCCGGTGTCTCCCGGCCCGAAGTCGGTAGCCCGCCAAGGCCGATCTCTGTTCAGGCGCTTCAGCCGGAGTGAAAACCGGGTCTCACGACAGGAGGATCAGCTAACTGACTTGAGTTCCCCAATGGGGACGACAGAAGCTTCTCCGCACGACAGGCCACACTCAAGGGGTGACCTGGTTGGCCAAGACTGGCATCCCGATAGCCGGCCCGGACTCCTCCCCCGCACATCACCCCGGTCCATCCCCGCCTCCGCATCAGCACGCTCAGGCCTCTCTCCCCAGCTTTGTTGACGGCAAATATGACCGGCCGGCCAAACATAGCCGAGGCGCCTGGGTTCGTTTGGCGAGATGTCGCAGCGTTGACGGGAGCTGGCCTGGTTTAGGTGTAGCGGTCGGTGCAATGGCTGCAAATGGCCGCGTGTGCTTGTATGGTCGCGTGGATAGCTCTAGTGTTTGCTGTGCTGAAAGACACCCCGGTGCTCACAAGCTTTCGGGACGTATGTCTCTGTTGATCTGAGCCAATGTTTGTGCCGGCTGACTTAAAAGCTTGGGGTGCGCCTCAAATCTTCTTCCGACCTCTTGACGATGCCCGGTCCCTCTGCCTTGTTGTAAGGGCAGACTCTCCCTCACCCACCTTTCGAGAAATATTCCTACACGGTCCAGTCTATGATGGGCAACAAGGACGATGTCAACGAGGCGCCTGAGGTGGTGGAAGACGCAGGCCACACGAAGCAGCAGACCAACTACGCCTTGGTCGACCGAGAAGTTGCCCAATATGCCAGCGAAGGCATCGTCGAGATCGACGAAGCGACCAACAAAAGGTTGAAGAGGATGATTGACAAGAGGGTCTTGGCTGTAATGATCTTCACATACTTCATGCAGTCTTTGGATAAGGGAACGATGTCGTTCGCGTCCATCATGGGCATCATCGACGACACAAACTTGAAGGGGCAAGAGGTATGTCAATAACCTGTTTGTGATTAGTGCTCTGCTAATGGACCTCAGTACGCCTGGTTGACAACAATCATCTACATCGTCATCCTTTGTGTAGAATACCCGGTATGGATGAAAATAAAAATCATTGGTGAATTTGAAACTGAGAATGGACAGGAAAACTACATCATTCAAAAGATTCCGATTGCAAAGTGGCTTGCTTTCAACATCATCATGTGGGGAGTAACTCTCAGTCTACACGCAGCCTGTCACAATTTCGTCGGTCTTGTGATCGTCCGCGGCTTTTTGGGCGCGTTTGAGGCCGTCTGTCAACCCAGTTTCGTGCTGTTGACGTCCATGTGGTACAAGCGTGAAGAGCAGGCTACCACCGCAATCCTTTGGTGCGTACGGATGCGCCATATCGGGTTGTCTTGTACACTAACACAAGAACAGGTACATGATGAACGGTCTTCAACAAATCATTGGCGGACTTCTGGCTTTCGCCTTCTCCTTCATCTCACACTCCTCGCCGATCAAGTCGTGGCAAGCGCTGTTCATGAGTTATGGTATCATCACTGTTTTCTGGGGCCTCTTTGTCCTGTGGTGGATGCCTGACTCGCCCATGAAGGCGCACTGCTTCAGCGAGGAGGATAAGAAGCTCATGGTAGAGCGGGTTCGTTCTAACCGGACCGGTCTTCAGAACCGCAAATACCGCAAGGAGCAGGTCTGGGAGGCTTTCAAGGATCCCCAAGGTCAGTCAGCGCGCGATATCTCGCCTGCCACAAGCTGACACTCGTAGTCTATGGATTCGCTTTGATTCAGCTGCTCACCACTCTTCCCTCCGGCGGATTGGGTGCGTTTGCCAACATTATCATCAAGGTAAACTACCTCTAACCGACATCTCCCTGTTGCGGTAACTAATCGTGGATCAGAGCTTCGGCTACACGACCTGGCAGACTCAGCTTCTCCAGAGCGTAACGGGCATCCTGCAGATCATCACGATGGTAACGGCCGCTTGGATCGACCGACGCTACAAGCAGACAATCCTCGCCATGATGGCCGCCGTTGCCCCCACCATCGCCGGCACTGTCGTCCTCCTCACGGTCCCGTTCGAACCCAGCAAGAAGGTCGGCCTGCTGTTCGCCTACTACATCATGATCTCCTTCTGGGCCTGTAGCGGTCTGGCTCTTTCGCTCGTAACGCGTAACGTCGCCGGCCAAACCAAGAAGGGCGTCGTCATTACGAGTAACTTCGTTTTCTGGGCTGCTGGCAACTCAATCGGGCCTCAGGTCTTCCGCTCGCAAGATGCGCCTCGCTACTTTCTGGCCCTGGCTATTATCATTGGCTGCTTTTCTCTGCTAGAAGTCACGTTGTTTGCCTTGCGTACGTACTACGTATGGCAGAATAAGTCTCGCGAGGCCAAGATCGCGCGAGGAGAGGCTGTTGCAGATATTTCCCATGCGCATGCTTTTGAGGATATCACCGACAAGGTACGATGTCATCTATGCTTTTTCTCATCGTGGTAATACAATGCTAACTCGGCCCAGGAAAACGTCAACTTCAGATACAACTACTAGAGAGAGTCTTTGCCAGTCTCGATGGATGAACGCTACGCTTGTCTGCAAGGAGTGCGCCTGGGGGATGCCAGGCCACTAGTAACCATTGCGTGTGAACCCGGTGGGATATGTAAACATTGCAGCGTGGAGTGGATATGAGAGGTTGATACCCAATGAGCACCTGTGTTCATGCATGACCCAGGATCTCAAATCGAGCCACAGCGAGCAGACCAGTCTCGTGCACTGCTATGCCTCTACTTATGACCCAACATCGCTTAACACCATCACATGATAATAATGGCAAGAGTACGACCTTCAGAGTGGACCCTAAAGCCACTGGCCGCAACGTTGCAATTTGCCAGACCCAGGTTTCCCCTCACCAGCCCCAGACGACGTTTCTAGTACCCCAGACCCCACGAAATCCACTCCCCTAACGGGCGGGATTTGTGGTTTCGCCTTGTTCGCGTTAAGAGAGGGGCATATGCGAGGATCTCGCACCCAAGCCGTTAGTGACGGTGGAGGAACCATGCTGGACTAGTCGTTTCCGGAGGATGACGCGTGTTGCATGTTTGCTCACAGTGCTCAGCTGGCCGCCTATCCTAGTAAGCACATCTCGGCCATTAGGAGCAAGATATGCCATGGGCTTGACACGATGTATTGCGTGGGGGTGCGTCGGCACCGAACTCCCCAGCCAGTCGGGGTTGACACCCGGTGATTGCCGGCCGTATATCGGTTGTTGGTGCGGAGAAGAGGCCGATGGAGGGGTTCACTACGACCAAAGGCACAGATATCGTGAACGTTCAGGCGTCGATAGTATACATTCTCAAGTTTTGTGCATACAGTTTCGTCAAAGTCGCCGTTGAAACCCAAAGGTGTCTTACTTCGCGACCACTAAACATGTGCGGACACGGGACTTCCTGTGGCCATCAGCATGCCTCATCGACAAGATCATACCCTTTGAGGGCACCAGCTCCAGTAGGCAAGAGAGTAAATAAGCTTTACAGAGACAGAACCGCCAACTTTTATTCTCCGGGACAATGGGAGAAGGCCAATCTGCTTTCGTATGACACCTGACGCGACCTCGACTCTGGCCGATCCAACTAACAAGATTTCCGTAGAATGCTGCATCTGGCAGTATGCTCTGAGCCGCCAAACCTCCGACTCTCGGTTTGGGACAGCCCTGGAACAAGTCGGCCGTCATTCTCAGAAGCCACAGCTCAGACGAATGAGTTCCGCAAGACCCAGATTGGGGAATCTTTCGGCCCTTCATGGTCGACCCACTGGTTCCGTGTTGAGATCACGATCCCCGAAGGGATGCGCCAGATGGAGCACCTCGAGCTGCACTGGGACTGCAGCAACGAGGCCACCGTCTGGACGGCGCAGGGCGAGCCCCTCCAGGGGCTGACTGGCCGTGGCGAACGCATCGAGTGGATCATCCCGGAGGCGTTCAAAGACGGCGAGATGCACACCGTGTTCATCGAGATGGCATGCAACGGCATGTTTGGAAACGCCAACGGCGATCCCATCTTCAAGAACAACGCCAACGGCGACGCGATCCAGCCGCCGGACGCGAACAAGTACTTTGTCCTCTCCAAGGCGGAGATCGTCGCCGTTGATGTGCAGGCGCGGAAGCTGCATACGGATATCGAGGTGATCCACCAGGCTGCGCAGGAGTTTCCCGAGGACTCGTGGGAGCAGCGTGAGGCTTTGAACATTGCAACGAGGATTATCAACACTTTCAGAGTCGGTGATCGGGAGTCGATTGTGCAGAGTCGGAAGATTGCTGAAGAGTACCTTGGCCCTGACACCAATTCGGACAAGGTGTTTTCTGTGCGCAGCGAAAAGGTCTCTGATGTCTTTGCTGTTGGACATTGTCACATCGATACCTGCTGGTTGTGGCCGTGGGAAGAGACGAAGCGCAAAGTCGTTCGGTCGTGGTCTAACCAGTGCGATTTGATGGATCGGTATCCTGAACTGAAGTTTGCTTGCTCTCAAGCTCAGCAAGTGAGTCATTAGTTCCTTGACTCTCGGGAGTCACTGCTAATGCCGCGCAAGTTCAAATGGCTGAAGGAGGGATACCCGTATGCTTGGGAACGGGTGAAAGCCAAAGTCAAGGAGGGCCAGTTTCTTCCTATCGGAGGCTGCTGGATTGAACATGACACGAATATGCCGAGCGGGGAATCCCTTGTTCGACAGTTCCTCTACGGTCAAAGGTTCTTTGAGAGCAACTTCGGGTTCCGATCAACTACTTGCTGGCTGCCCGACACATTCGGCCAGTCGAGTCAGATCCCTCAACTTTGTCGGCAAGCAGGGATGAACAGGTTCCTAACACAGAAGATTTGCTTCAATAACATGAATGAGTTTCCTCATACTTCCTTCAACTGGTATGTGTTTCGCACTCTGATCAAATAGTCTAATGGCGCGTTCTGATGATGAATGATACAGGGTCGCTCTTGATGGAAGTCAAGTCATTTGTCACATGCCGCCCGCCAAGACTTACTGTGCCGACGCAACGTTTGACAACATCAAGAAGAGTGTGACGCAGCACAGGACGCTAGATCAAGATCACACTTCTCTCCTTGCAGTGAGTTCCCTGTCAAGTCTAAAGCTAAACATTGTTCGTTGGTCGCCGATTGACAATCTTCCAGTTTGGAAAAGGCGATGGCGGCGGCGGTCCTACTTGGCAGCAGATTGAGCGACTTCGGAGACTTAGAGGCCTCGCCGACACCACCGGGCTTCTCCCCCGAGTTCATCTCGGAGGCACCCCTGACGATTTCTTCGATAAGCTGGAAGAAAAAGCTCACACGCTTCCAACCTGGCATGGGGAGCTGTACTTTGAGCTTCATCGTGGCACTTACACGACTCAAGCTGCTACGAAGAACAATAACAGACGGGCTGAGTTCCTTCTAAGAGATCTTGAGCTGCTCGCCACAATTGCCTCCATCCATGATCCCTTTTATAAGTATCCTAAGAAGGAACTTGATGAGATGTGGGAGGGCGTGTTACTCTGCCAATTCCACGACTGTCTTCCTGGAACCGCGATTGGGATGTGCTATGATGATTCAGATAAGGTATGTCCCATGCTTTCAGACGTTTGAGTTCAACTGACACTCTCAAGATCTACTCAAACGTTTTCCAAATCCGCGATACCCTTATTCAAGGAGTATACAGCACTCTGGGTGTATCTGAGAAACATGAGACAAGCTTTAGCGATGACGATCAACTTGCTCTCAACACTCTGGCGTGGCCCCGCAAAGAGGTACTTTTCAACAGCAACGGAGCGAGTGTCATCGCTGAAGGTAATGGAACCTTCATCTCCATTCAACATGCCACACCAGCCACGGCCGATAAATTAGTGACCGTGGAGGAGATCTCCGCAGGCGTCTTCAAGATGCAGAACGCCCGCTTCTCGGTGACCGTCGAGCGAGGGTGCATAACTTCCTTGTACGATTACAGCACCAAGCGACAGGTTCTTGCAGGAAAGGCGAACCAGTTCGTAATTTTCGATGACAAGCCCATCTACTGGCAAGCCTGGGACGTGGAGGTTTTCCATCTCGAAACTCGGGAGGAGTTGCATGGCTCCACCACTTCGATTCTTGAAGACGGCCCTCTGAGGGTCAGCGTTGTCACGGAGACGAATATCAGCGACGTCAGCTCTATCAAGACCACTATCAGCCTCGGCGCTGCCTTTGATGAGGAAGGCAGTCCGTCGTATGTGGAGTGCACTGTGGAAGTTGACTGGCATGAGACGATGAAGTTCCTGAAGGTCGAGTTCCCGGTAGATATTCGGCACCATGAGGCATCGTATGACACCCAGTATGGTGTCATCCGGCGGCCGACTCATTACAACACCTCGTAAGTATCACTCATCTCGAACCCTTTCTTCCTTACTAGCTGACACTCTGGGACTCAGCTGGGACATGGCCAAGTTTGAGGTGTGCAGCCACAAGTACGCCGATCTCTCGGAGTACGGCTACGGCGTCTCGATTCTAAATGACAGCAAGTACGGCTTTGCCACAGTCGGCAACACCATGCGGCTCTCGCTCCTGCGCTCCGCTAAGGCCCCTGATGACCAGGCCGACATGGGCAAACACACCATCCGATGGGCCATCCTGCCTCACCAGGGCCCTCTTGGACCGGATACGGTCAGGGCCGCGTTCAACTTCAACAACCCCTTGAAGCTGATGTGGATGTCCACAGACTCGCCGTTGAGGGAGTTTCCAGTCGTCTTGGATGGGGATAAGAACCTTGTCCTCGACACCGTCAAGCGTGGAGAAGATGATGAGGACGTCAGCAACGGCGAATTGCCGGTGCGGTCGGGTAAGAGCGTCATTGTTCGAATCTATGAGAGCCTTGGTGGGCGCGGGCGGGCGACGGCGCAGACGAGGTGGAACTTGCAGAGTGTGCACAAGACGAATCTTCTGGAGGACGACGAGGCAGATGTTCCCTTGGTTGATGGCAAGTTTGAGGTTGACCTTGGTCCCTTCCAGCTGCAGACATTCAGATTGGCATTGGCCGGATAGGATAGCGGAGAGTTCTTGAAGCGCGGGAATGGGCTTTTGAATCCTCTTAGAATCAAGTAGATCGAATGACTATGAATTTCGCAGCGACAGTGAAGGAATGCTCCCGTTCAAAAAGTGTGCCAACTTCAGTGATGAATTATGCTGCCATCGAGGTACTCTACGTAAAGCAATCTAATTACCTGCGCGACACATCTGTCGCTATCTCGGCGCCCTTTGCCGTGTTTGCATCTTCGTCGGTGTTGGTGCGCTCGTTGGCATTGGTGTGTTCAACGGTGTTAGTGTATTCGTCTGAATAGGAACCATCATTGATATTGCCAGCAATAGTTCCGTTTCGCGTTCCTCTCCTTTCGAGAAAAGCAATCAACAAGATCACTGGCACGGTCAGCGCCCCCGTCACCAAGCTGGCAATGTACCCCTTTCGGTAGTTTGGCGCATCGGTCACGGGATAAAAGATCAGAGGCCACCATGTCTAACTTCAGTCAGTGAATGAAACAAAACATCACTCCGTTCTCAAGACGAACGTACCACAAAGGCAAAGTCGAAGGAGTTCATGAATCCCGTCGTGATCGCTCGGAGTTGCAGATCGTGGGCCGTGAGATCGGCCATCCATGAGTACCAGAGCGCTTGCGGCGCGTACGTCGTGCCCATCAGGTAGAAGGCGAAAAAGTAGCCCGCGTCTGGCGGATCTGAGATCAAGATGGCGCTGCTGACGATGAATGTGAAGCCTATGCACAGAGACGCCTGCCAGCGAGAGCGGAGCTTGTCGGATACGGCGCAGTAGATGAACGTTGCGACAATGCCTGTTGCGTAGATTGCTGTCGGGTAGTTGTTCTGTTGAATGACGCTGTAGCCGCGAGAAGCCATCCAGAGGGGCATGACGTTGTTTTGTATCGCTTGAACGCTGAGAGAGTAGACTGTCGTCACTTATTAGTATCAGATCAGGGTACTATGGTATTCAAAGGAGGCATACGCATGAACACGGTTGGAAGGAGCCAGAATTGCCAGCTGAGGAGAACACGCCGAAATATGCTCAAATCCCATTCTTTGGCCTTCGTCCGGCCGAGGCGGGTGACTGCGAGTTCCCTCTCTTCGGGAGTAAGGAACCTGGCGGAGCGGTGCTCTGGCAGATCGGGAATCGCGAACCATCCTATCGTCGCATCAATCTTCCGTCTGTCTGTCGCTATGGAGGAGGGGTCACTCACCAAATACGGCGAAAGGGATTGTAACACATGAAACCACCACAAAAATGAGTCGCCATGGAGCGATCGGGCCATTGGAGAGAGAGGCCAGAAGACCGGCCTGGATCCAGCCTCCCGCCATGTTGCCGAGGTTACCAAATGCGCAGAAGACGGCTGCGCGGGTAGCAAGTTCGGATTGCTTATACCACGATCCATAGATGAAATGTGCACCCACGCTAAGAAGTTGTGTGAGTATATGCCGAGACTCATTCCACAGGCGTCAAAAGCGGACTTACTATGCAATGGCCGAAAAGGCACCTTCGAATCCGTTGAGAATGAAGACTTGATAGACGTGGGTCGCACGGAAAGTGACCAGCGTGAGCACGCTCCAAACGGTGTTTGCGGCGACAAACACGTATCGCGGTTTGACGATGGTCAAGATTGAGGTTGAGGGGATCTGGAACACGGCGTACGTAACGAGATAAATCGTGTGCATGTAGTTGAAGTCCTGAGACGGAGTCAGATGGAACCCGGATGTTTGATGTTTCATAAGAGACAACTCACTTTCCCTTGGAAGTTCAGATCTTCCTTCATGCCGCTGATGTAGGCGGTGCTGTAGCTGGCGCGGTTGATGCCGAACAGGAACCACACTACGGAGAAGTAGATGAGCACGGTGAAGTCGAGCTTGATGAGCAGCGAGCGCTCGACCGACGGCGGGCCCCAGAGGGCCGTTTTGATTCTGGACGCCATATCGGAGGCTGCTGCCGGATGTCGTGGTGGCAGTGATGATGAGGAGGAGGAGGCGGCGGGAAGCAGAGGCGACGCCTCTGAGACTGTGATATCTGCCATTCTGGTTTTGTACTGCGCTTGCGCACCACCCTTGCCTGCAGTGCAAGGTTCCACAGGCACGCGATGTCGTCTTGAAGGGTTGCAGATTTCGCCATCGAGAGATGAGCAATGAGTGCCGCGGCGGGCTGGCGGGCGGGCGGGAATCGGGATTTAGGTCGGCTAAGCACTAAAACACGCTGCGGAGTCGTTGCGACAGCTCACCTAAGCAACTGGAATCGTGCCGGTTACCCCGAATTGCGCGAGCTTATGGCGGCGCGGGGTTTGGCCACATTCGGTAGGTAGCACGACATAAGGCCCTTTGTTGGCGTTGATAAAGAAAATCTGACCAGTCGTTGGTTTCCAGTCTGCGAGACTCGGTCTTCTCTGTTCTTATCAGTGACTGAGGTATTGTTATAAGTTGACTGCTTTTCAGAGGGGTCCCGATCCATCAAAATAATGAGTACGTAACTGAGTCCTTCATGGATTTATTTCCGTGTAAGCATGAAACTGTTGATAATTCTGTGTCTTTCCAAAAAGAAATTCTTCCGCCCATGAAATGCTTATATTTTGCTGATCAGTTTATCTTCATTTCTAATAATTCCAATTCCTCGCAAAATACCTGACGTCACAATTCGTCTTGGTGTGCGGTCTGATCAACCCTTGGCACAATAGTATCATTCCCATGACACAAAATCTCTCCCTCTCTCTTCCCCAAGTCACAGCGAATCCATGCTCGTCGTTGATGAAGCCAGTCTGTGAACTGAAGCGGCTCGCCCCAGTCCCGCTCCCAATCCCCCGCAAAGAATTTCACCTGCTCCAGAGACTGACCGCCATGATCTTGCAAGAAACGCGCCAGCTCTTGCGCAGTCGTAGAGTTGAGCAAAGGCTGCGCAAACTCCTCGATGGCCTCTCCCCGGCCGTCCCAGTCAAAGTCGTTCTTCTGCCTCCGATATTCGCTCGCCATCTCAAAGTAGATTGTCAGGTTTGAAAGGGTGCCTGGAATGCTCTTCATAAGAGTCGCCATATCATCCAAGGGCCAACTTGTGTTGTGGCGGTTCAAGTCTATGGTGAGAGCTTTCAGACGCGGTGCGAGGTTTCCGATGTCTCGCAAGATCGGCATTGGTAAGAGAGGACGAGGGCGGTAGAGAGTTTCTGCGCTCCTCCATTCCAGCCCGGTGAGACTGCTTCCGTGGTGCTCGAGGATCAGTCTCAACGTCTCTTCAGAATATTGAGGCTTGATCCAGGTGAACTGGCAGAGTGAGCCAGCCGGTATGGACAGGATGAAGTCGAGCATCTCCGGTCCGTTGACAGACAACGATCGTAAGCTTGGTAATTTGGGGGCCAGGAGCTTCGCGATCAAGTCGACAGAGCTATCCCGGCATGAATCGCACCTAATTGACAGGCTCTGAAGTTGAGAAAAGTCCATGGCCTCTAGCCACAGCTCCAGATTCGTCTTTGCCCTCTGGTCTCGCGGAAGGAGACGCCACTTTAGGAACTTGAAGGCATTTCCCGACGTGATCCATTGTAGCGTGTGGTCCCATCCGTGGAGTGAGATATAGTTCGATTCAAAGTCGCCAAAGTTGTAGCCATCGAGGGAGAGATCTCGTATTGCTGACAGATACTTTGTGTTACCTGCTGGGTTCAAGGGCAAACTCCATCGTTCCGGAAAACCGACGCAGCCGATCAGTGCGAATCGCAGGTCAAGGGTCGTGACTTCTGGGCAGGTCTCGAGGATGGAATGAATCTGGTGTATGCTTCTCGATCTGCGGTCGGATACCCAGTGGCCGTCTGATTCCGGGATCGTGGCGTGAATTTCTGAGGGACATGTTGATGCGAAGAAGCCGGATGTGAGTGGGAGCGCGTGCCACAAGTTCTTCAGATTCATGACGTGAAAGTGGGATGTGTTCGGGCGGCAGTGCGGTGGAAAGCATTGCAGTTCTCCAATTCGAGGTGCTTTTGTTATGAAGACAGCGTGGCCACGTGGTACTTTACTGTGCCACCCCATAGCGTTGCTGTTGCCTGGCGGTTGAGGATCCAGATGAAACACATCGCATTACGAAGAACGGATGGTGAAATTAGTGTGGCGTTGTCATTTCATGATTTATGTTGTGACTTTGACCTAATCTTCCAATCCCAAACGCCTTCGCCCATGCAAACGAGGTGCCTCCCATATGTCCTGCTCGAGGAAATGGGTGATATGCGGCCCAGCCTTTTGACTAATTACTCCACAGTTCACCTACGCATAGTACGGTTTCCTACCGCAAACGCTAAATCTGTAAAAGCAAGTGAGTGGATGCCCTGATCGTTGACACACAACATTCCATCACCAAGGATTTATCGACTTACACCTCCCAATACGCATGAACCGATCGATTCAGCAGCTCCTCTCTCACCTCCTCGCAAAAGTCTTTCGTATCTGTCTCCGTCCAGCCCAGCACGCGCGTGAAGACGGCCAGCGTAGACGCCTCGAGGCCCGCCAAGCTCCCCGCCTGAACCCACCAGCCCGCCTCTCGCAGCTTCTTCTTCGCGGGCCACGGGCTGACGGGCCAGATCCTCTTGTGCTCGACGACGGCCTCGAAGCCTGCTTCCTCAAGCAGCTGTTTGAACCGTGTCGGCACGTCGATGGAGCTTCCGATCTTGTTGCAGCCTTCGACTAGCAACGAGGACCACCTGGCGATGGCGCTGGTCTCGGGCATGGAGTCGTCTGGGCACAAGATCGGCCACGCGTTGTCCTGGAGCTCGATGTAGCCGCCAGGCTCGAGGTGCCTGCAACCAGTCAGATTGGGTTCTCGGTGCGTTCGGGGCGGGTGTGTAGCCACTCGAATGCTTGCGCCAGCATCTTCTCCCAGCTTTTGAAGCATGAGTTCATGTGCCGCACAAAGATGAAGTCAAATGGGATCGTCCATCTCCAGTCCTTGTCTACGTCGTCGATCTCAAACATGCAGTTTGGGGGCACACTGCCAAGTCAGCCCCCGTGTACGTCAGTGGGCTGGAGGGACATACTAGTCAGGCTGGATGGGACTGAGGTCGACCCCGGTGACCTTGATCACATTAGCATCTCACAGGATATATGGTCCAGAAGTCATCAAACCATGGTCTCGGGATGAAGGTCCGCTGCGACATGTTAGATGCGACCTAGCATGGCTTCGCTCAGAGTGCTCACCATATTCCATAGCCCAAATACCCGTACCGGTGCCAATATCAAGGACTCGCTTTGCGTTGTCCTGCATCGGGCTCATGCAGAGTTTGTCGTCCCATGTCAATAACCACAGCTGGTGCTGTAAGTCTATGATGGAGTGAGTGGGAATAGCTTCATGGTCTCCAACGGGTGGCATTACATAATCGATCTTGCTCCAGCTATTGACTGGTCAGAGACAGTTCACCAATGGTTGTAGGTTGAAGAGAGACATACGACATCGTTGGGCAAGATGTATTCTTCGGGTGTCATGGAGGTTGGTCAGCTGTCTCGGCCATGTCATGCGTCGTACTCACTGCCTTCACTGAGTTTGTGATACGTGCGGCCGTTCTCTTTGCAGTATTCACGGATGCTAGGTCGCACGGAAATTAAAGACGGAGGCAGCGCCTCGTCCAAGGACTGGAACGAGTCTTAGCTAAGCCGCAAACAGATGAGGGTACGAGAGGACTGGACGCACCTCGGCATCGATGGAGATGCGATCAAAGTCGGCATCGTCGTCGCGGTGGGTATCCTGCACGTGCAGCACGTCAGCAGAGTCGTGTACCCAGCGCACTGCCGCCCGCCGAGCGCCGATCGGAGCGGAAGATGGGCGGGCTTTCGGCGCGCAAAGGAGGGGCACATGGGACTGAATGAGTAAGGCGGAAGAGAGCGCGAAGGAATCAAAGGCAGGTCAACTCACGTCGTCCCCGTTTCTCGAATCAGACATGTTACCGGCGGCCTGGGTTTGCAAATCGCAAGTTCGTCCGGCCGCAAGGGGAGATGGACCGAGAAAAAGCGAATCGGCGGCACCAGCAGCACGGGTCACACAAACGAAAGCGTGTGAAATGGAGGGGGGAGGGGGGAGGGAGAGAGGGGACGAGGATTTTAGGGGTGTCTCCGAAACCGTGCTTCTTGGCCCAGATCTCCCTCAGGCACCTCCTCTCTCTCTTCTCCTAGGCCCCCTTCCGATCACCTCCACATCTGATGGTGCGCGTTGGTTCTGCGACGGCCGAACGTGAGGGTGTGATTGGTGCTGTGCCGCATGCATGGTCTCACCTGTGGCACCGTCGTGGGCGCGATTTCCTGGTCGCTGGGATGGGATGAAGAGGTGCTGCCGTCAGCGTCGGTTACAGAAGCTGGCGGCGGATGTGATTGGGGGCTTTTCGACGCATGTGTTGCGCACCACCCTGGACCCTGTAATCATCCACATCGTGGCCTGATGAGCAGTTCAGTTGTCAAGACTTGACTTGTGCGACCGTCTAGCATTCCAATTGTCACTATGAAATGTGTGAGACTGGACTCGCTTCGTTATTGTCTTTTCCAACATTCGTCGTAACATGAAGCAACGTGCTCGATTTATAAACGAAATACGAGAAATTCTCACTCCTTCGCTGCTACGTACAATTACACTCAGAATTGAAGGCGCTGTTTCAATTGCAGCCTCGTGCTTCCCAAAGTCTTGAATAGCATTATTTCAAAACTCAATATCCTCGAAAACTAAATAGTCGGTCAGTCTCTGGAAAGTACAAGTCCGAAAGAGACTAAGAGTGCGATCCAGAGAGCCAGGCCACAAGACATGTAGGATATACACACGTGGATTGCTCAGATTTATTTGAGAGATGACAACGGCAGAAATCCGATGAAAAGAAATGGCACGACTCTTACGTCTTGATTCTGATCTTCTGGCATTCCAGTCGCTTTCTGAGAGCTTGGCTGTATGCCTATCCACAAATTACAGATCATATGTGCCACTCAACTCAACTGCCTCAACTCGGGCTGGCATTTAAATTACAGCTACTGAGGCATTTTGCAGCGCTGCTGCCGGAGACTTGTTATGCGTATGCGCCGCTGCAATCGTTGATGCAGTCTTGTCTGGGTCGAGGTTCGCTACACCCTGAAGGGGGTACAGCTGTGCACTTAATCTATTAATAGTTAACTAGCAGCATTTTAGCCCTCGTTCGATCTTATTAAAGCAGAAAGGTGTCTAATAGAAGTATTTTTCTGACTGGATGTAGAGATGATAGACGAGGAAGGTAATATTTATCTAACTCAGCAGAATAGGTGCTTACAGTTCAACCACGTGGATAAAACGAATCCAGATAATCGAGGTAAGTACGTTAGGAAAACCGTAGAAGAATAAACATGGGACCGCCTACTTCTCCTGTGCTATACTGACTACTTTTCCTGTGGCCATACTCTTAGAGACCTTACCATCATCATTTCTATCATCGTCATTTCTATCATTGTCGCTTCTTATCGTCGCCGTCGTTATCGTCGTCGTCGTCGTCATTGTTGTTGTCGTTGTCGTCGTCGTCGTCGTCGTCGTCACTATTATCGTCTCCGAAAGGAGTACTTAAGTACACAGGAAATAGCCGCGCAGACATAAGAAATTCAGGCGGTCTCATAAACATAACAAATCTGCAGAAGAAATTGAAGTAGATTTCACGACAAAAAGCAAAAGAAACTCCTCGACGGGGAATTGAACCCCGGTCCCCGGCGCATTGTGTTCAATGACAAGCCGATATCCTCACCACTAGACTATCGAGGATTGAGATCTCTGAATTGAGATGTGTTGCTGGACCCCAATCGTGACTCATTCAGCTGGGGTCCATTGTGAAGTGGATGTTGCTTGAATCGGTGGGTCTCGGATGGGGCCTCTATGAATTTGTCGCTGTAAAGTCTCCCATTTCTAATTATCGGTTGCTGTCTGCCCGGAGAACTTTGGACTTGTTTGCGTCGTGGCTAATGCTCCGTGATTATGCCGGAAGCCGGTGTCCGAGATACTCTGGGCCGGCCGATGGAAACGCGGAAGGCGGGGCTCCTGCAGAGCCGGACGAGGGCGGAACTGATGTCACCAGAAGCCGGGCAACGGACTTCGTCTCGGGTCGTTTGGGCCCTTTGATGTGGTTATAGTGTTATTGTTACGGATGAGAGCTTTCGGGAAGCTGAATTGCTTAATGATGTCGCCTCTCAGCAGTCTCTTGTTACTGAATCCAGGGGAGAAGAAAACTTCCTTGTGCTAACTGTGTGGACATGTTCTGTCCGCAAACAGCTTACTCTAGCATACCGCATGTATCCTCGATGCATTTGCTGACTCTCAGGTCATACTGTTTGCCCACGATCGAAGGTTTGGTTCCTAGCCGATTCTAGTCTATTGATGTGTTATCATGTGTAGATGGAGTTGGTATTCGCATGGCAAGCGATTCGAGTCTCGCGGGTTATTAGGGGCACGTCGAAACTACCCGTCAACCCATTCAATTATATCTCAAGTTGGCAAACTTACATATGTACTTGTAGCGTCATTTTTCCGAGTGCAAATCACGTTATAGTCAACGAGAGGCAAGGCGTTGCTATGATACCGTTGGAAATGTAGCGAGAATGATGTTTCTGAGACACGCATCTCAGACCATGCTGCTGAGTATGTTGGTGCAGTAAAGGACATCACTGTCTTTGAAACACAAGTAGTGCTGTGCGTCTGTTTCATTGTTTTCCTGGTCGGCTGATATATGGGAACAAGATTGCGTACGTAAGAAGTCACTGTTGCCTGCCACCAGCCCGATGCGGTTCTACGAATAGGTTGATAAGACTTTCTTTCAATCCTCTAGATAGGTATTCTTCACCGTTGCATCTATCGGGGACGAGACCAGTTCATAGGTAAACACCAACCGCCGCTGCATACATGTCGGCTGACTTGCGACGACCACGTCTAA